GCATGGTGATTTCAAATAGACTTTTTAAAATAGCCAAGGGAATTAAGCTCAATAAATAATGTGTTAAATACACCATGTAAACTCGTTATTTTTCTATGAAACTGTCTACACAGTGGAATGCATGATACACAACTGTGGTTTTAGTAGAGGATCTGAGAGGTAGCTTTCATCCACCGACTGTTTCCAAGACTTAGATGAACCTTTGTCTAGAAACAGCTTGAAGACATCTGACTCATGTTTTTTCTAATATCCAGAGGAAAAATGGGGCTTTTAAAAATCATTTCACAACACCATAAATATTTACTTGATCAAGTATGAATCGTACTTCTCTTTTAGTGAAATAATTAAACACAATTATAAGACTATTCCCAGTAACGCTATCAACAGGAAGCTGATTATCAAACTATTTCATTATTCAAAAAGCAATGTTTTTCTCCACTCAGAAGAGAATACATCAGAAGAAGAAGGGCCATAGTGATGAGGATCCAGGCTGCCCCAGGGAGAGAAGCCCAAGGCATCCAGCCCTACATACCGATCTATATCATCCTCTGGGAAGCATAGGACGTCCTGACCTGATCCGATCTGATTCTTATTTATTTATTTATTTATTTAAATTGCAGTAACACGGGATTATAACAATATATAGCTTTCAGATGCACATTGTAATACGTTTTGAATTCTGTGTAGATTACATCATGTTCACCACCCAAAAACTAATTATAGTCCATCCCTTCACATGTGTGCCTAATCACCCCTTTTGCCCTCCCCGCCTGTTCCCCTATGGTAACCACCAATTCAATCTCCATTGCTATGTGTTTGTTTGTTGTTGTTTTTGTCTTCTACTTATGAGTGAGATCATATGGTATTTGACTTTCTCCCTCTGACTTATTTCACTCAGCATAATACCCTCAAGGACCATCCATGTTGTCACAAATGGCCAGATTCCATCATTTCTTATGGCTGAGTAGTATTCCATTGTGTATAAATACCACATCTTTATCCATTCGTCCCCTGATGGGCACCTAGGTTGCTTCCAAGTCTTGGCTACTGTGTATAATGCCGCAATGAACATAAGGGTGCATGTATCTTTATGCCTTTGCGTTTTCAAGTTCTTTGGATAAATATCCAACAGTGGGATAGCTGGATCATATGGTAGATCTATTCTTAATTTTGTGAGGATACTCCATACTGCTTTCCATAGTGGTTGCACCAGTTTGCACTCCCACCAGCAGTGTACAAGGGTTGCCTTCTCCCTACTCCCTCTCCAACACTTGTTGTTTCCTGTCTTGTTAATTACAGCCATTCTGACTGAAGTGAGGTGACACTTCATTGTGGTTTTGATTTGCATTTCTCTCATAACTATTGATGTTGAGCATCTTTTTATATGCCTGTTGGCCATCCGTTTATCTTCTTTGGAGAAATCTCTGTTCAGATCTTTTGCCCATCTTTTAATTGGGCTGTTGGTTTTTTTGTTGTTGAGATGTATGTGTTGTTTGTATATGTTGGATATTAACCCCTTTATTCTTCTTTGCAGACATCTTCTCCCAATTGTTAGGTTGTCTTTTCGTTTTGCTGATGGTTTCCTTTGCTGTGCAGAAGGTTTGTAGTTTGATGTAGTCCCATTTTGTTCATATCTAAAGTTATAGGAGCACCAGATAACCGGACCCCAGCTGCACTGATAACATTCTAATGACTTTTTTAACATAATCTTTCCTTTGTCTTGTAAAGAGATAACTCATACCTATGCCTTAAATTTAGCCCTACCCTCAACCTATGTTTACAGCTCTTCACTGCCCATGGGCCCTGTCCCCTCACTATTCTCTGAATAAAGGAGCATTACTACCAGACCTTGAAAGTCCAATAAATCTTTCTTTCGACTCCTCGGCTCACCAAGCCCGCATCAATAGGAAGCAGGTTAGTGGAGGGAAGAGAGAAATGGTAGCCCTCTCTGCATGTTAGAATCACTCGAGGGCTTTTACCAAGCATAGGTCCCCATGCTGCACCCGGCTTTTCTCACTTGGTTGGTCTGGACCAGGGCCAGGCAGGAATCTCATGCTCAGCCTGGGTTGAAAACCACTATGATAAGAGAATGAACAAGTGCACGGGAGGGCATATGAGGAATCTCAGTCATCTGGGGAGAATCGCAGAGAACGGACACTCCCGTGAGCTGAAGGTTGGCATTCTGAGCACACAGGGTCCCACCCCCAAAGACAGATGCTCTTGGAATCTGGGAAAGGAAACAGTTGGCTCTGTTGCCTGTTATACTGATCCATTTACTCAACATTCAGTGCCTCAGTTTCCTCACCTGCAAAATGGGAATGATAATACCACATGTCTCCCAAGGTTAGCATTAGGATGAAATTAGGTAATGCACACAAAAGGTTTAGCTTGGTACCTAGGACTTAGTAAGTTGTCAGTCCATGTTGTCTGACTGCTCCATGGGGAGAAAGCAATGAGGTCATTTCTTTGACTTTTAAGCACTTACTAGCCAAGGTATTTATCCAAAAAATGCTCAGCAAAAATGTGCTAAATACTGTAAAGGACAAGAGGAATGAAAAGTAACTAGAAGTGGGCATCTAACAATGGAGCCCTCATCACAACTGCACTCAGAGTGCAACAGGATCCCCCACTCCAGCCAGTGCCTCACCTGCCATGGTAGAAAGCATGGACGGTGCAGTAACAGCCCCTCTAATTAAGACAAAGAGAGAGAGTAGCTGGAGCAAGTGTGTGTATGGTGTTACTGATTACACTGAAGAAACTTGAGCAGATACATAGGCGGAAACAGGAGAGCCAAAAAAAGAGGCCATGGAGAAATGGCAGGTGAGGGAGAGGTCTTTGAAGGATCAAGAACCTTGAAAATGTGGAAACTCATGTGGCAGCATCAGCCTCGGATGGTGCAGAGCAGAGTCCTCCACCATGGTGGAGGGAAAGGGCCTTAGGAAGCGATAAAAGCCGATAAACAGACGGGTAGGGCAGGAGAGCGAGCTGGGCACGGTCTCCGTTGTCAGTCCTTACTTTCTCTGTGAAATATGAGCTGAGGTCACCTGCAGCGGTTGGAGTGGGAAGAGGAGAGGAAGAGAGCCGGCGGCAGGGTTTTAAATAGCTGTTGGGGAGGTCTCAAGAGCTCCAAGCATCCCCCAGCGCAGTAAGTCATTTAGATGGTCCTCCTGATTTGTCTTCTTGGCAGATTCTTGAAAATTTGCTGCCATTTGGAGATAATTAGTTTTCCAAATAGATCCCACTCTGGGAGAACCAATATTGCATTCTGTTAATGCAGGCTTTTATAAATAGCAATAAAACACTCTGCCATCTAACCACAAAGAAGAGACCCACAGAAAGTCCTCCCTTGATTGAAAGGGGAGATGTTATCTTCTAAATCTGTGCTGCAGATAGAGTTCCCTCCAGTAGATCATGAGTTCCTGCTGAACGACTGTCTTTGGCGGGGGAAGCAGAGGTTAAAAGCCTCAGTTTCTAAAAGCAAGGAGATTTTTATTTCTATTTCCAAACAATTAACCTTGTTTTTCTTTTTCCCAGGAGGCAAAACAAGATTTTTTTAAATGAAACAACTATATAGTAAATAGAAAAAATAGGAAAGTCAAAAATGTAAATAAATATGCCAAAAGCCAACCACCATAACCGTTTTTCTGTCTTGACCCTTAGTCAAAAAGTGTATTCCATGTAGTTTGAGCTAATGATAAAAGGCCAAAGAGCTGAGGAGAGATAATAAATAGGAGCATAAAAACAATTGAGAGAGACGAGGAGCGCACTGGAGCAAACCGCTTTGCAGATGGAATCTATGCTGCGGGCCGTGCGCAGGCCAGGACTAGGAACGCGGCTGAAAGCTTAAAAGCTACAGTGATAAGAAAACACAGCAAAGGCCACGAAACAGCTCTTCAGAGGTTTAATCGCAAGAGCCCAAGAGGATGAGAGCTTTCACAAACACAGCCCTGCCTCCGAGAAAGTCAAAAGCAAAATGAAAGTGCTTGCCTCTGAAAAGAGTCAGATCTGGAAAAAAAGAGGATGCCAATGTAGAAAGAATAATTACTTTTTTATTAATCAGTACTCAGCATCTCTCTAATATTTGTTTTTTCCTTTACGTCATTATGTAATTCAATTATTTTAATAAAAATATTTAAATTATATGAACCCAGACCATGAAAATATGTAAAAGGTACATATACACACATGAATAGAAGATATCAATTCCTTCTTTTATTATACTGTTTCGTTTAAAGGATCATTTAAAAGATTGTCATCTATAGGTAATGATCTGCAGTAGTTTGTATTGTTCAAAAACACGGGCTGCCACTCCCTATAGGAGGATTATACTTTCTCACTGCATTGATGTCAGCTTTGGCCATGAACATGCTCTGTCCAATGAAACGTGAGCAGAAGTGACGTGTGTCTGTGCAGACAGGAGTTAACAGCAGGCCTGAGGCTGTTAGGCTTAGAAAGAACTCCTTGCAAGGTTGACCCTTGGCTGGCATTGGGGATTTTGGTTACGGGAAGCTTCCCATTATTCTCTGATAAGAATGGCTCACTGCACCTAACATGTTTGTGCAGACAGTGTGGCTTATGCTGAAAACACGCCTCCCTCTGGGAGTCCAGAACTGTGGTACATGCTGGGCAGAGGGTGAATACGTGACCATCCCCCAATAAGAAACTGGGTGCTGAGTCTCTAATAAGTTTCCTTGGTCAACAGCACTGCACACAGGTTGTCACAGTTTGATGCTGGAGGAATTAAGCACATCCTATGTGACTCCACTGGGAGAGGACTCTTGGAAGCTTGCGCCTGGTCTCCTCGAGACTCTGCCCCGTGCATCTTTTCCTTTGCTGATTTTGCCTCATATGGTTTCTCTGTAATAAATCATCACCACATGACTATATGCTGTGAGCCCTATGAGTCTTTCTAGTGAATCACCAAAACCGGGGGTGATCTTGGGGACCCTTAGCGCAATGTAACTTCAGGAAGTCCTTCATGACTTTTCCTTCTCTTTCAGGACAAGTGTCACTGCTCCTGCTAGAGGCTGCTCTGCCTTCGGGGTCCCAGAGTGAAGATGACATGACAGAGCCATAGCCAGCCCAAAGCTGACTAATATGAGTAACAAATAGACCTCAGAGGGTATAAGCCCTTAAGATTTTGGAGTTTCCAAGACCACAGCAAAACCTAACCTTTTCTCCCTGATATATAATCCCAGTGATACATTTGCATAGTTCTTTCACACTCCCAAAACCTTGTCTCACATTATTTACTTCAACCATCCTATGAAGTGTGGAAACCAGACGGTGATATTTCTACACTAGAGACCAGCTGGATCCTTGTCTTGTTCTCCAATGTCACTTAACATGAGATAAATAAATATGTTCTCAGCTGGAAGCATGGGTCCGTGGAGTCGTCTGTAAGAAGCAGATGAAGAGCCAGTTAGTCACTGTAATGTGGATGATTCACAGTTACAACTCTCTATTTGAGGCTCCTATTAGAGATTGCTGGGGTTTTTCTGTCCATGGCAGCTTCACAGGCCTAGATATCTTTCCAGGCCTCTGGTTGTCCATCAGTTTAACCTGCTCTGGTGGATACCAGTTTCTTTGAGGTGATCTCATAGGACCACTAAATTAGATGTGGTTTAGGCCCCATAGACTATATTTTAAATTATACCAAATCAAATATAACCTTCAGATTTGGTGAAACTTAACTTATTAATTCTCCATTGCAAATGACCACAAAATATATTGGCTTAGAACAACAAGAAGCATGTATTATCTCATACAATTTCAAGCAGTCAAAAATTCAGGAGAATCTTCGCTGAGTGGTTCCGGTTCGGGACTTCTCTTCAGTTCACGGTCAAAATTTTGAGCAAGGCTGCAGTCATCTCTATGCTTGGCTGAAGCTGGAGGATCTGTCTTCGTGGTGGCTTGTTTGCATGGTGGCAAGTTAGTGCTGTCTCTTGCAAGGAGGCCTCAGTTCCTCGCCACATGTGTTTTGCCAGAGGGCTGCTTGAGCCGCCTCAAGACGTGACAGCTGACTTCCTCCAGAGTGAGTGGCCCAAAAGAAAGCAAGGAGCGGTCCACAATCCTTTTATGACTTCGTCCTGCAAGTCATGCACCATCGCTTCTGTCACATTTTATTCACTTGAAGCGCATTACTAAGCCCAGCTCACTCTTAAGAGGAGTGAAACCAGACTCCACCTTTTTGAAAAGAGGAGTACCACAGGATCTGTGAACATATTTTACAACCACCACATGCGTACAGGTATTTATCTCTGTCCGGCAGCACGTTCAGTTCTCCCCAACTCTGGGCATATTGTGGACATTGTATTTCCTGCGTCCTCATGCTGGATAGGGCCATGCTATTAGATCTGGCCAATGAGTTGTGAGTGGGCTGTTCAATAAATACTTCTGAAAACTTGGCTATTTATATGGAAAAGACAAGAAGACATCCCTACTTTATGTCATTTGCAAAAATAAAATGCAGATGAATTAAAGAAGTAAAGAAGAAAAATCAGTAATGTGAAAATTTTCAAAAAAATTATATTTTGTGACATTGGAGAAAGTGAGAATTTCTTAAAGAAGGCAAACAATGTAAAGATAAAATTTCTCTTCAACAAAAGCTATAACCAACAAAGTGAAGGGTAAGACACAAATAAGGAGAAGACATAGGCAGCTCATGGAATCAGAAAAAGAATCCAAGGTATATACAGGAGTCATGGAAAACTGTAAGGAAAAGAATAATAAACCTGTAAAAAGAAATAAACAATGCCTATGATAAGACAAGTCACAGAAGAGGAGCTGCATGATGCTCAAAGTCACTAATAAACCAGGAAAATGCAAAATAAACTGAAATGAGATACCATTTCACACGTGTCAGACTGGCAAAAAATACTGGGTCTGAGAGCCCGGACTCTCAGCCAGGCAGCAGTTGCTGGGGTGGATGCAAATTGGTACAGGCACTACGGAGAGCAACAGAACAAGAGCCAATAAAGATCTCAGTTGTAAATAGTCTACGACCCAGAACTTCCCCTTCTAGTTCCACACTCTTTACCTTGGAGAAGGCCGAGGGTTGTGTACACGAGCTGACGTGCAAGGATGCCGCTGAGGCACAGCCTAGAACAATGAGAACCTGAAAATAATTGTACCATTTCTCAGATGTGGTTAATTCGTACAGTGGAATACCATACAGCAGTTAGATAAATGACCCAGGTCTCCCGTTACCAACATGCTACATGTACCGTGTTGGTAAAATCTCAAAATTCAACAATGAGTGAAAAAACAATTCGCAAATGACATTCACAATTTGATTCTATTTATGTACATTTTAAAACACGCAAAACAATACCATATAGTGTTACTGAAGGAATACATATGTAGAGAAGACAAGAAAACCTGTACGCATTTCAAGGTCAAGGTTACTTCTGAGGAAAAAAATAGGCAAAAGAATTGGGGGTGGAAGAGGGATGGCTTGCTATATTAGACATACTTTTTCCTATTTTTAAAAAAGAGATCTGAAGTGGATATAGCAAAATGTTACCATCTGCTTAAATCTGGTAGTGAATGCATGTTATAGTTATTTTCCGTACTTGCCCTTTACAAAGTAGTGCCGTTATCTCCATTCTGGAAAATATCCTTCCAATTATTTACCTATATCTCCTCAAAAGAACCAAAGTGGTTTGCACTCTACTGAGTATTTCTATGATGTCAAACTAGCTGATATAATTATCTCTTTCTTTCAAAAGAGATAATTCAAGAGATTCAAATCCTTCTTTCCCACAAAACCCATTCAATCACATTTGAATTTATTAGGAAGGAAAAATACGCATAAATCTCCCTGAGCCCCTAATGTCCCAAAGAAGGTTTTGGAGAGAGTGGAAAACATGTGCATTATACTTTGATTATAACCGTTCCTTGCTAGACACAGCTGGATTACAAGAAGCTGTGAAATTGCTCAAATTTTTAAAATATCCAACAGTTCTAGTTTTGCTGACAAGAGAAAGGTCCGGCTTTCTCTCACAGGAGAAAAATCTTGTTATATTTCTAACCACATTCTGGGCTGGATGGGACTGAATGGTATAGATAAGCACCCAATCTTCCAGATGCTTATCCTGAATGAATCTCCAAACTTCGAAAGGACTGCCTGGGAGCTAATCTTTGCAGCTTTGAGCTTAAGCCAGCCAATAATGAACAATACAATGAAAAGCTGATCCATTTCCCAGTTTACCCCCCATTACAGTACAATACTAAGAGCAACACTAATTTAAGCTGCAATGTTTCTGCATTGGATGGGGTTGTGTATGTGTGAATGAATGTGTGTATGTGTGTGAGTGTGTGTCCTTCTCCATCCCAGGGCACAGAATTGCTCTCTCTCAGTAGCAGAGGGTTGCAAGTCTCCACAATCTGGGCTGTGTTTTGAATCTAGGCCAAATAGTCAATGAAGAAATGACTATAAATTACTCCAGTCATAAATTGTCCATTCTAATGAGCCCAAACCTCATGATTATTTCTTTAAATCACTTTCTTCTATTTGCCCATCATTCATTTGATTCAATAACAAGTCAATATTTACTGAGTACCTACCCTGAGCAGATTCTATGCTAGGCATTTCACAATCAAGCCTATGGCATTATAAAGCAACATGTCATTTCCTCTTTTCTATGTCAATTAGACTGCAGAAAAGTTAAGTCACAGCTTTCTTAGTGAAAGATCTGACTTCAGCTATGTCGTCTGAGCTCTGGTAATGCTGGTGGTGCTAGCTGCCCATGACTGCAGTCAATGTAACTCAGCAAAATTAGATGGAGTGTGACAACAAGAGGAAATGAAAAGGATTTGTAAAGCAAGAATTCATCACATTTTGGGGGAAAACCACACAGTATTCTGAAATGAAAGCCATTAGAGGGAGAATGCATCTCATTAGCCTGGTTTTCTAAGGACGGTTAGGTTATGTAACCACTTTGCCTTGTTTTAATCCTTTCCTTCTACCATCTGCCATATATCCTCACATTGTTACGGGTGTTCTGTGATTGTTTTGGAATCTTTATGGGAAGGGAGGAAAATGAAACCCAAAACATTTCTTGGAAAATTGTTAGACAGGATGGATCATATTTTACCCTTCTTTTTCTGTTCCTGGGAAATGTCAACAGAAACCCCCGACTCTACTTGCCTCACAAACACACTTTTGTTCTATAGCTAAAACCTCATGGAATGCATTTCCTTAGTCTGAGAAAATGAAGGTAAAAATCTGAGAGATTCCAATTTTCAAGGAAAAAAATTCGCTTTGGATCCATTTTGGCTGAATCCATATGCAGAACCATATAACAGCATTAATTCTCAGACTGTCACCTCTCTCATGACCCAAACAGTGGAAGGTTGGAAAATTTATGTGTATGCATGTGTGTGGATGTGTGTGTGTTAGTACGTGTATATGCATGCATGTGGAGAGGTGGACAGAGAGAAGGGGAAATAGGGAACCAAGAAGCAAGAGGGAGAGCAATTTGAACTAAAACAAAACAACGAACATCATTCATGAATTAGTATGTACCAGTTAAAATTTATGGAAGAAACTGGGAGGTGAAAAAAGAAGGAAAGAGCTGGGAATGACCTGTTTTTAAATAAATGAACTGAACTGAGAAAGAATTGATGATCTTCTTAGCCGTGGGAGTGGTTGTAACACCATCAATAAAGCCCTAGCTCTATGAATAAAGTGGTCTGGGAGATGGTCTTTGCATGTGGTTTGGAACGACACCACCAACAGGGCGGAGGGATTCAGTGTGTTCTCCTTCCAGGGTCGTACTTTAGGGTTATTTTCAGAGATACCTGAAGCCTCTAAACTGCTATGTTTTCTGATTCTAACATCAAAGAACCTATAACATAAAGAAAATCCTGAATCTGCAAGTTAAAAGGACGCAAATATCCTGATAGAAAAACCACAAAATGACCAATACTGCAATACAATTTGGTAAAATTAATACCCTTCAAGTCTGAGAATGCATTGGCATCCAGGCCAAAAAGCAAGCTGCCAAAGCCTGAATACAGCCAGGCTGGCCTTGGATTACTAAGAAGAACGTTCATATTTTAGAGGACAGGGAAAATATTACGTATGTGTATGTTTATTCATATCTGAGTGGAAAATATCTAAAAGATATGCACCACATCCTTGTAGTGGCGTGATGCTGATCTTTGAGGGTCCAAGTGTGATCTTGCGATTCTATTTTTGTTTATTTTTATTTTCTAATTTTCTGCAATGCATATGTATTGCTTGTAGTAATGAAATGTTATTAAAAATAAAACTAAAACAGCAAAATCATAAAAAATAGATAAGAAGAAGACAGTGGGGCACACTCTAAAAGAAAGAAAGCAAGACACAAGAAAATTATAAGAATAAAATAGCCTGGCTTTAAATGCAACACGCAATAGACACCCATGTGTTTGGGGGAGAAAAATAGAATTAAAAAATCAAAAAAATGGGAGATAATTGGAGAAGTCATTTTAAAATGAGTGATGATAAGCATTGAATCATTTTGAAAACAGATACAATGTTAAGTAAATTATAGATACAGAATATAATGATTCCAGTATAATGACCTAAAATAAAAATTCACAATTTAACTAACAAAATTTAGGAAGTGAGCTCCTAAAGAAGATAGGAGGAAAAAGGTTGAGAGTTCCTCATCTTACAGGGGATAGAGTCAATAGCTTCTATCTACGGATGATAAGTAAAGTGACAGGAACTTAGGAATATTGAAATGGATAAATGTATGCCCAGGAAAAGCCAAACAATGAAACTATGGGCGAACAAGCAAGGATTGATAATACCCCCAAATTACTGCAGAAAATTATAATAATTATAACTGCTAATCAGAATTTTTAGAATGTAGCTAACGCGATACTCAGTGGAAATTTGTACCGTTATTCACGAATAAATGCTGAAAATAAGTGAACAAGTGGAAAAAATGAATGCAGAATAAAAAATATCCTAAGGAAAGTACACATTTGAATAAGATTTAAGATAAAAATAAAAATTATTCCTATAAAGTAAGTGAACTAAGAGAAATAATGAACAAAGACAAGAGCGGGTTCTTGGAGGAGTGGGGAAAACAGAATTAAAACAGATAAACTGCTAGCAAATCTAATAAAGAAAAAGGAAGAAAGCACAAGTTTGCAAAATTAGAAATAATAAAGGGAAGAATTATGATTAGCAAAAACATTTTGTAAAGCTCTTCACATAAATTTGAAATATCTGGATGAAAAGCATGCTTTAGAAAAAATATAAGTGAAATTAATTCCAGAATGCTAAAATTGACCAAGTATATTTTAGAATCTGATCAGATTTTGATAAGAGTCTGGTAAGAACTTGCCCTTTAATGGAAAAAGTCCAGAATGTTTTAAAAAATTAGAAAGTTGAATGTACCTGTAGATGGAACAAATAATTCCAGTGTTATTTACATTGTTCCAGAATATAAAAAGTGGAAGAAAGTCTCCAAGTACTTTTTCTTAAAGCAGCATAATATTGACACCAAACTTGACAAAGGCAGTCCAGGAAAAGGACTACAGACCAATCATGTTTATAATGAATAACAATGCAAATATGATAAATAAAACTTAGCAAATACATTTCAGTAGCACATTTAAAGATCAACACACCATAAACAAGTAGGTGGGGTTTCTTCAGAAATCTAAGCACAATCAATGGAAACCAACCATAGAAAACCAATTAATATAATTCACCATAATAGACAAAGCAAAAAATCATATTATCATTTCTGAAGATACCAAAAAATACTATTTAGTAAAATTCAAAAATTCCTGATTAAATCTGGAAGATACCCATTAATAACTGTTATACATTTAATAACAGATATTTACTAGAAGCCTACTGCAAAGACCCTTAATGGTTAAACATCAGTAGCTTATCCATTCAAGTGAATAACAAGCAAAAATTATTAAAAAATGTCTTATTCAATATTGTTACAAAAATACCAATCAATTCAATTATCTAAGAGAAGAAAAAAGAATTTTAGAGGAAAGGAGTGCCAAAATTATCCTCAGATGATATGATTGCATATCTGAAAAACTCTACAGAATCAGAAGAAGAAAAGAAGGAAGGAAGGAAGGAAGGGAGGGAGGAAGAAAGGAAAGAAGGAAGGACACCAGCACCAACACTCAGGTACACACAGCACTCACACACAACCTAGTAAGAAGAAATGGGAAGGGAATCTCAAAATTTTCTTAGAAACATAACAAATATGAACTAATGGAAATATATATCTTATTCTTAAGACTACTCATTAATAAATATTTCCACTTCCTATAAATGAATCTAAATATTTGGTGTAATATCATTAAGAATAATACATTTATTGGAGAGATAAACTATGTTTAAAGTTTAAAGTTGCTAAGTGGTAAAGTTTATGCTAAGTAAAATAA